CGGCTGCCATTAGCATCTGTCCCCTTCTCCAGAAACACGTCACAGCTGGTGGTGTGTCTCATGGAGCACAAGCCATAACACATTCTGTGTCTGATAGCTCTCTCTGACTCACCAAAAAAGAGATATCCCCTAAAAGCTACTGCTATCTCCTCTATTTGACCCAGGTTACATAAAAACCGCCGCGCACTGCCAGTACCAAGGAGGTGGCGCGGCTCCGACCAGATCACCGACTCCTCTCTCTGCTGCTCCAGTCAGGAATCCATCAACAGGAGCCAGATACTAACTGCATTTCCGGTCGCACCAACGCCCCCGGCGCGTTCCACACATAAACCGCCAGCCCACCGTCCCAGCAGCAAGGAGGACTGTCTTAGCGCGGACGGTGGACAAGAACCAGCAGCGGAGCAGCGGCGCGGATATGGGAAACCTCAACGGACTGCCTCACCGGCCCGACATCGGACCCTGCGCCGACACCTCTTCATTCGATCACGCAAGAAAGCGGACTCCTCCGCCCTCGTGCAGGGCAAACAGGCGCCTCTGAAGGCAACAGCCCTGGAACCGTTGCACTGTGAGCTCACGTCCAGCAGTGTCAGTCTGGGACGAGTGCACTTCAGTCTGGCAGGTGGACGACGCGCCTGCTTCTTCCTCACCGCCCCAGTCTGGAGGAAATGTGGCTGGGACGAACCCCAAAAGGTGATGACTACTAACGTCTTCTGTGCCGCCACGGAGACGCAGCAGGATTTCTGGTTAAAGTGGTGAGTTCTTGTCGTGAGCAGGAAGTTCTGCCCTGATCTGATTCTGCCTCGAAATTCAGTTAGCATTGGATAAACGTCCCAGGGCTTCTTTCCGAACTAATAGGTAGTGGCATCCTCTGGTCTTTTAAATATCCGCGAAGCGTGGGAGCGATCGCCTGCTTTAGCGAACCGGCTTATCTGACCCCTTCTGTCGCTTGGGATGAGTTACTTTGTTTTTCTGAGGCCGTTTTGATTGCCTGGGCTGTGTCACCTGTCCTAACCTATTCGGTGGACTTGACGTTCATCATCGGCCGGGGTGTTTCCTTCAGTTTGTCAAGGGACGTGAGCCAATCAAAGCAACTGGTCGGTTTGACGCATGACATGGGGCTTTTGCCGTTCCCTTAAAGTGATTGGTGTCCTATGAAGTGTAACACTCTCTGACCTAGCTTCATGAGGTACAAAAGAAACTCTATTACCGACGACATCATCAGCAAGAGTATTTTGAGAAAAGTGATCCAGATGCCAGGGCGAATGGCCAGCTTGCTGTCTACCTGGGTCTAACTTGCCGATGTCCAAAAGACCAGTGTCAAGTCATGGCCAAAGACGGAAGTAGCAGTTGTATGAAGCCAAAGGCTTCTGCAGGGATTTTAGTCTAGTGATGGATCGAAACCTGGCGTAGCTCACGACGTCAAGCTCCCATGATGACCAGGGCTTTCAGAACCGTCCTACATTAAAAGGGGCTTATTTAGAGAGAGAGAGAGAGAGAGAGAGAGAGAGAGAGAGCCTACCCTTTGAATTGAATTAGTCCAGACTCGATTTTTTCGGTCTCCATTCGACTCTAATTTTTTTCCCTCAAGAAATATACCAGAGTTATCTTTAATTACGAGAAATTTGGCATTATACGGACATCACTGATAGACCTGTGATGGCTGTCTACACTGATCAGTAGAAAGCTAACAGAAGCAGATATCATCGTAGGCATGCAGTAGACGAGGGCTAGATACTGGGAGGGTTTGAAACGACTCCAGAAAAAGATAATTTCCATAGCTGAAGTGTCAGGCAGATCAGCAGAAACTACGACAATCTAGTCGGGATAGAAGAGCTATTTACCGTGTCAGTTTAGTGAGGAATCAATTGAAATTGCTGCCCACGATCTTGAGGTTGATATTCTCATATATTCAGATGGAAGGGAGATTTAAGGTGGCCTTAAATAATGATCTATTTCTATTTTTCAGAAATAAGTCATTAGCACTGACAAACGTGCCTTGTACTGTAGATCTTTTCAGTCGTTCAACATGATCCCCTTGAAGAAAAAATGTTGCTTGAGTTGTACTCATCTTATTTTCGGTCTCTGGCCGCCTTGAAATGACGGCCATCTATTGGACCACAGACTAGCAAAATCCAGTTTTGTTCATATAGTCTTTTCTCTGGTAGCAACCTAAAACCGTGTAAATATGTACAAAAGTTTTTAAACCCTTCCAATTCTCGATGACATAATCATGGGACGACGAATAGTTCGTCTTTCTGGGTCTGCGCGTACTGGAATCCTCGAGTTCCTGGTGGCAAGTGCAGTTTGTGCTAATAAAATGGCAAGTCTCCTTCCTATCTATGCAAGGTACCTCTCGCTTGGAAGTCTGGGATTGAAGCACCACCTTACACATGACAGCTCGACTGCCGTAGCCGACGATGTCCAACATGGGCTCCTCAGCAGAGTGAGAGCAGGGGCGGTGACTTGCACAGCCTCTAACGTCCTCTCTCCTCCCTCATCTGGATCCGCCGTCAAGACGGAGTCAAGAAAACAGGGAACGGGAGAGGACGTAAGTTGGGTGGCACAGCGCAAACCCGCACCTAGGCGTACCATTACACTCCCTAGCACACAACGTACGCTGACCAGGATTTTACACAAGAGGAGAGGCGAAGGCCCAGCTCAGATCGCATGGAGTGCGCGTGCCATAGAGACCACATTAGCAAAGAGCCATTACAGCCTGACTCTCAGTCCACCAGTCTGCCGCTCCACAAAAAAACACTGAGCCGACGGCGAGGTTATCCCGTCAGTTGACAGCCTCCCAAGCCACGGCTTTTAGCCTACCGTGATAGGTCCGCGTGCGTCAGATTTTTATTGTTGGGGAAAATGCGCTGAGACCGTCGACTTCACTCTCTCTTCCCACTTCCAGGCCACAGCCGCTGTCTGAGTCGGTGTAGGGAATGGGCGCAGTGGCTGACATAGTCTAATGACCTTGTCTGCGCACGCCACATGCACGACCTGGCCCCCTAAACGCAAACACCGAGATTTCACGCAAAAGGAGTGGGCCGCACGAATTTCACATGCGTGAGACTGCCGGAGGTCATGTTAAGGAGACATTACAGCCTAACTCTCGGTCCACGAGATAGCCACTTAACACACAGACACACAATTGGACTGACTGCGCGGTCTGAGTTGAGCATCAATTGGCAACGTTCCAGACCACGGCTTTTATCACACCCTGTTTGTCTCCAGCGCATCAGCTTGTTTATAGAAAGCAATTTTGCAGTGAGAGTCGGCCTCACTCGCTATGCCCTATCCCATGCACCAGTCGACTGTTCGCGCCGGTCAACCAACTGATGTTGAAATTCAGAGAGGTAGCTGACAGAGTTGATAACGCCCGTCTGCATGTTCAACACACACGACCTGACCCCCTATATATATATATATATATATATATATATATATATATATATACCAGGATTTCTCACACAGGAGGTTAGACCGCTCGGGTCTCGCATGCAGCAGAGGGCCAGCATGGAGAAAGGAGCCGAAAAGCGCATTACATGACAGGTGTCAGTGGTGTGAGCTGTTGATGTTCATGTGCATGTGTTCATGGGTGAACGTGTGATGATGTATTCGTGTCCACTGTGATTTACCGCAGGTTTTCGTGAGTGCGCATGTGAACGAACAAACCCATGCGATGACGGAATGTGCGAGGGCAATGGGGGCAGTTGAGGCGATGGGGTCTGGTGCATGTTGGTGCTCCAGGCCCTGGTTCGCCAGTGTCCGTGCAATGAATTCGCCGGCGACAGACCAGATCGTTGCGTGTGGTGAATGTGTAGTGACAATAAGGGCAGGCTAGGTCGGGAGCTGAAGGGTCGGTTTCGGTGGTGGTGCCGCGAGTTGTGTTGACTGGGCTGAATATGGTGAGTGTGCAAGGTGTGTCGATACTGTAGTGATTTCCGCTGTTTTGAAAACACACAGAACCGAATAGGCCAATTCGTTGAATACATGTGTGGGGATAGTGTGAACAATTGAGGCAGATGCGGCGAGTATAGGTGAGGGATCCACGCACTGGTCCGCCAGTCTCGGTGAAAAGGATTCGCAAGTGACCGGCCAGGCCGATGTATGAGGTGGATGTGCGATTGCAATGGGTACAGGTTAGGACCGAATCCATATCACTGGAGGTGGGGATGGTGGCTGGCGGGCCGTTGGGAGAGTTTACTTCGGCTGCGGGAGTTGGAGCTGTGGTGGTGATCGTCAGCGCTGCGGAGGTTTCGACAGAGATGGGAGAAACGGCGGTGATCGACGGCGGCGAGACACGGGGATTCAGAGAAGTGCTGGTGAGGGTGGGCGTCGTCGTCGACGCCGTGTCCGTTGAAGCAGGGACTGTCGTGCAGTCAGTATTTTGGGTTGTCGGTCGGTTAGTGCATTGGTCCCGGAGATGTCCTATGAGGCCGATCCGTTCGCGGAGTGTGAGTTGACAACGCTGCCATGTTGAGAGGGTTTGATGTTGATGTTACGGGTCAGAGGTGCCTGAGACTTGCGGGCTTCTTTTTCCGCCTTGGCAGCGGCGATCTGGTTAGCCTCATAGGGTTTTACAAGACATCGCCTATTACCCTTAAATATACTGACCTATAGACGGCGGCTCCAGTCTTCACTGCTCTTCTCCACGTCAGTCGGTCCATTACGAGGTCTTCCAAAGTCTTGGGGTTTGGTCTGTAACCCTTTCAAGGAATTCTTTAAGTTGCCTTTGTAACGACGGGTTTGCTCTCCTGGCCGGCGAGCACCCGTGACGACATCCTCCAAGAAGAGTTGTTTGGTAGGCGCTCGTGGTTCATCCTCGCGAGGTGGCCGCTCAACCTTAGTTGCAGTTGCCTCGGCATGGCGTGTTTGCTGAGGGTTCCAATCCGTTACGAAACTTTTGTGTCCCGTGTCCTGGCCTACCACCCCAGCTCTAGTATCTGTCGGAGACAATTGAGGTGGGAGTGACTGAGCTTCCCCGCTTGTCTCTTGTAGACTTTTCAGGTCTCCGCATGAAACAGTAGTTTCAACAGGATGATAGCTTCATACACTTTCAGTTTGGTGTGGAGGTGGAGAGCGTGGCGATTCCATACGTGGTTCGGTAGCCGGCAGAAGGATTGGTTGGCTTTCGAGATTCGACGAGTCACTTCGTCCTCGACTTTGATGCAACGAAAAAGTGTGGTGCCTAAGTAGGCAAAGCTGTGCAGAGTCTTCAATTCGGTGCTCTCGACGTGAATGTGAGGATCATTGTATGCAGCATTGGGTAACGGTTGGTGCGTGATAAACGTTTTGTCGGTGTTTATGGCCAGTCCGAAGTTGACATACGCGGGATCGAAGAGGTATATGCCAATTTGCATGTCACATTCTGAAACGATGTCTCGCTCGCAGTCATCCACAAATAGCAGGTCGTGAACTGGGGTCGTGTAGAGACGCCTTGAGGGCCGCCTGCGCCGGCTGTTGAAAAGATGCCCGTTGGTCCTATAGACAGTGTGGATCACGGGGCTCTCATCACGGTAGGCGTCCATCAGCATGGCAGAAAACACGAGGCTGAAGAGAGTAGGGACGAGTACATAGACCCGTTTCATTTCGTTGGTTGTTGCGAATGCTTCAGAGACGGCCCCGTTGTCTGTGACGCGCGCTATCATCCCTTCGTAGAACTGACGCACCATGTGCGTGAATCGCCCAGGTCAGCCAAATTCTGGCATGATTTTCCACAGTCCTTTTCGATCCACAGTGTTGAGGGCTTTTGTCGAGTCTAAGAAGGTAGTGTAGAGGTGGGTCTGCGTTTCCTGACATGTCTCCTGCTACCGGCGGGCGGCGAAGACCATGTTGTTGGTTCCGCGGTGACGGCGCACGCCACACTGACCTTCCAGGAGAGGTCCTTGTTCGAGATGGTCCTTGAGACGGTTAAGGAGGATGCGGGTGGGGATCGTTCCAACGATGCTGAGCAGGGGGATTCCTCTGTGATTGTCACAGAGTTTTCGTTTTTCCTTTCGCCTGTATAGATGGACGATTGTCGCATCCTTGAAATCATGAGAAAATTGCCCAAGGCGTCATATTTCCTGGGATAGCGTTGTGAGGTGGCCGCCGTGCTTGTCGATTTCTACTGGAATCACGTTAGGTCCCCGGACTTTCCCGGTAGACGGCTGGTACACCATGCAGATCGTTTCTGGGAGAGAAGGCGGCAGATGCGGTTCGTCATTCGCTTGCACTTGGGGTAGTCCGTCGATGGCGGCGTCAGAGAGTGTGTGGACGCTTCTGAAGTGCTCGGCTCGACGCTTCAAAATCTGTGATTTCTACATTAGATGCGTTGTTCCTTCGGAGCTGAGAAACGGCGCGGCTGCTTGGGTTGGGGGGCCGTAGATCGCCTTGAGTGTTACGAAGAAGTTCTTGGTTCCATCGTGGTCAACATAACCCTGGATTCCCTCGACCATGTGGTTGATCCTGGCGCCCTGCATTCCCCTCTATCGGTGGCGCACGATGCAACAATGGCGGAAGAAGGCCGCCTTGTTTGCGTCAGTCCATTGATTCACGTAGGTTTTGTGCAGCCTGTGCTTTTCCGCGAGCAGTGGGTTGATTTCGGTTGCGGCGTGCACGGCTGAGGCGCCGTCGTCGAACCAGTCCTGATATCGGCGACCTGCGCGATCGAGGACTTGCAAAGCAGTCGGGTGGATATCAGTCCGCAGTTTGCACCACCGATTCTCCAAATGGACGTCGTCGTCCGAAGCCGACAGTTGGGCTAACTGGTGGCTGAAATTTATACGGTGAGGGAGCAAGTTTAACAGAACAGTATTCGACTTACATGGTGGTCTCCTGCGGGGTTGCAGATAGAGCCTCATATTGAGGATGACCAGGCGATAGTCGACCCAGCTGTCGACGTCGTATATCACCTTTGTCCTCCATCACGTCCTGCCGATCTTGCCTCCGGAAGAGAACGTAGCTTACTAGCTGTCGATTCAGCGAGCGGAGGCGCGTCTAGGTTACCTTCTTCCACATAGCCTGGAGGAAGAAGGTATTGGTTAGCAGGAGGCGATGTTCAGCGTAGGTTCGCAGGAGGATGAGGAGGAGGAGGAGGAGGAGGAGGAGGAGGAGGAGGTCATTGTCGTTTCAGCCGGTGATTCCGTGAGGATCCAGCACACCTCTCCAGGCAGCACGGTCTGTCCCGAAGCGGGCACTGATGTCACCAAGGACAACCAGCTTGTCCGCCTTCGACATAGGCGGCATGAAGGCGTGTAGGTTTTCGTAGAACTTGGTCGTTCCGTCGTCGAAACTGGTCATTAGGGGGAGGGAGAGGGAGGGGACGTGGACACTGACGACAATGGCAGGCGTCGGATCATCAGTCGGTCGTTGATGCTCTATGGCAGACAGGGCAGTTGTACCGCGATTTCGTTCCGGATGGCAAAGACGACGGCTGTGTCATGTCACTTGACGTTTAGACGGCCGTTCCAGAAGGTGTAGGCTGCACCCACCTCCTCTAGTAAGTCTTGTTCGGGGAACGGGATCTCTCTGGGAGCAGCAATGCCCGCCTTGTGGCGCACCAGTTCTCGAGCGAATAACTCCGTCTTGTGTTCAGGTCGGTTGCGCATCAGATTTTCTAAAAAAGAACAAACATTCCAGGTTGCTAGATTGAGCGGAGGGGATGCAGACGTGGATTGTTGTTTTTTGAAACCGAAGGACCCGCTGACGCGGCAAGAAACGGCTGGAATCAATTATCGGATCTGATGCAGTTGCGGGCAAAACAACTACTTCGGAGAAAACAGAAGACAGCTCCGAACGCGAATGGCCGAACACGCTGCATCAGTGTGGAGAAATGACGCCAGCTCTCAGATTGCGGCTAATTCGACGAGATCCGGCCACACATTTAAATTTGACGAGGCCGAAGTTCTCGCAAGAGTTGACAGTCGCGTGAGTCGCTAGTTGCTTGAGTCATGCGTCACTGGTCCCAGTCTGTTAACAAGTGAAACGACCTTCCCCTTTTATATTCGGTGCTGAGACTTAACCTAAGCAGAGTAATTAGTCACGCGGGGAGCGCACAGGTGAACACTCTTCCCACACCAGGATCGGCGGGTCAGATGGTCGAGCAATCATCACATCAACATCCAACACACGTGATGGAATTTTAGCAATTAACAACGCGAAGGTCGGCCATCAAACAGTCATCGCGCCAAGCCCAACGATTCCTGATGAAGGGGGTAAATATTCACAGGTATGCGGTAGCATGGCGACTGCATTCTATAAATACTGCTGCCCCTTGTACATGAATCACCCGTATCTGTTTTTGTCTCTGATGATGGGTTCGAGCAGGAATCCGGAACGTCAGGCAAATAATGCCCTTGTCCCAGCAATCGTGTCTCCTTCTTCATGCTGTTTGTTTGACTGTTTCGACCTTGAGTTGTCTATCTGCGAGTCACGGTCTGCGTACAGATTACACGATCCTAGCATTCATATGTGGCGCCTTTTCTAGCCTCTTCTCGCGCGAGGTGGTAAGCAGTGCTGTCCCTAAATAGGGCTGTCTAGGCATTTCAGGCGGCTGCCGAACTCCACTTGATTTTTTGGAGGGCGACCCGAGTTAGCTTGGGCCGCCTACGGGGTTTCACGTCGGCCTCTCTGTAGGACTTTTGAAGTGAGCGGGGGAGGAGGGAGTGAGATGGAGGAGAGGATATGAGGGAAGGGGAGGGGAGGGACGGAAGGAAGGGAGGGGACGAGAGGAGGGACGGGAGTGGGAAAGGAATTCTCGGATGTAGGGAACACAGCATCGGATACCCTCATATGGTTTAGTCTACCGGTCGAGGCGGTTTCTAGGATGTGGCCGCTAGACAAAGACTACCTTCGGAGATCCTCAGATGAGATTTGGACCCCAATTAAGGGCCGTGAGGAGCAGTCACCTTTTTCATGTTACAACCTCTCAAGCACGCTGTCTCTAACTGGACACTTCTGTAACCAAGGGGCACAACACACACACGCAACGGAAACAGCCCTGTGCCTTTTATAGCCTTGGGTCACCATCGGACCCGTATTCTGTTCCCCCATACTCTCCTATCCCATCCCCGCTTCTTCTGCCTCCTTCATTGTGTCTGGTGTTTGTCTTTCCTTCTCATCATCTTGACGGTTGAAGGCGACTCTGCAGTCACATGTAGGTAACACCTACAGCGAAAACGACAATTCCAGACCCGCGCTTACCTCTTTAGCCTACTCTCATGCAAAATGCAGTCCTTAGGAATCGTCTTCATCTTCTGCACCCAGTCCAGCTAAAATAAAAGTACGACCACCAAGGTGCAGCATTTTCGCTGAGAACTTTTGTGACCACCGTGGGCACTCTTCGTGCCTCATTTGACACGTGCTGTCAACGCATGTTACGGAAGTAGGCTTTCTCTGAAACCTGATTTGACTGGCGTTGATGTCGTGCATCAGTCGGTGGTCTAAACGCAGGATGCCAGCACAGTGGTATTTTCTTGCCCTCTCCCGAGAAGAACGAAATTAGCCCAGTCTGACGGTTGAAAATAGCCGAGACACGTCGCTTACGGATGTACAGTGCGTGACCGATCTCCTGAAATGTTGGCCGAAATTCTGAAATGCGTTTTCGATTAGAAAGGATTACTTAGGCGGGGTTGTAAGAATGATAAGTACGCAGCATAAGCCTATAACACTTCGGACCCAGTAGGATGTCGGCTTTTGAATGCCCTCATTTTTGACCTCCTGCAGAAACTGCACTTTTTAAAAAATAACTACTAAATTAGAATGTATTTTTCCTATTGATATTCGATGACCTTTCAAATTAAGATATATTTTATAGAAAACATGCACAAAATATGCATTATTTTACTCGTTTGGCAGAAAGTCACATTGCCTTGATGTTTTATACCCGAAGAAAGTGCATATTTAGGTTTTAAAAAAGTGTCTAATTATGAGATTTTTTAAGACCGTGCGATGTCCATGCATGCAGGACCGCACATTTCCGTTTACCAATGCTCCTAATGAAATGCACAACACAGTCCGGATCCATTAAGAAATTTTAGGAACTCTATGTGGTACCTTCTTAAAGACATAAAGGAATATATGATTCTCCTTACTCGGAAAGCGTGCGCCTTGTAGACTGAAATCGCTAAACGCCGATACGATGGCAGATCAGACTGAAAATTATCCGGGAATTGGGAAACTTTTTAAAACCTAAATATACACTTTATTCGGGTATAAAATATAAAAACACCGTGATTTTCTATCAAACGAGAAAAGACGGCATATTTTTGCATGTTTACTATAAAATATGTTTGAATTTACAAGACCATCGCAAATCAATCGAAAAAAATGCATGCTACTTAAGTAGTCAGTTTTTACCGAGTGTGGTTTCTACAGGCGCAGCGAGAAGAAGCTCAGTCAAAAGCTGACATCCTGGCGAGTTTGAAATACTAAGGGATTTTGCCCCACAATGAGCAATATTACAACCCCACCTAAGTAATCCTTCCTATTCGAAAACGCATTTCAGAATTTCGGCCGACATTTCATGAGATCGGTCCGCACTGTACTGTCGGCACCGATGGCACTCAGACATGTTCCTGCTTGTAGGAACTAGGACAGAGTTTTCTCTAAGCAAATAAATGTGAAGTCATTTTTCGTATGGCATCACTTAGTTGATACACCCACGTGCTTAGTGCGAATTTTTTCAGAAATTGCAGGGGTCGGAGGTACGCCTGTTAAAACTGTAGAATGAGTGCGAGCCATCAATAAGACCTACTACAATCCCTTAACCAGACCTTACGGCAAATTTCTCATCCCCTAGTAACAAAGGGTCATGGCTTATTTACAGTTATTTCCGTGAATGGCGCATTTGACGTGGCCAGTGAGATTTTGGGGGGTCAGGGAACAGGCCTGCCAATTATGGGAGTTGTGCAATGATGTACCGTACTAACAACACAGGTATTAGCTAAAAGCCCAGACAAGCGTGTTTCGCCGATCTTATGCCGACGCCTGACGCAGCTGCGAGGGGTTCGGCTCGTCAGTGGGCCCCGTGTGTTTTCTGGTATATGAACTCCAGTTTTAACTTGCCTTGATTAATTTCCGAGGAAACTAATGTGCAAACTTGGAGTAAATCTTTCGAAACAGACCTTTTCAGGCACGGTCCGAAGCTTGATATGAATATTTGAGCTGAAAGCTTTTAGCTAATACCTGTGTTGTTAGTACGGTAAATCATTGCACAGTTCTATACTACTGGCTGCCTGTTGGCGGTTTGTGAATATTAAGCGGTTATTCCGCAGTAGTTAATGGATTTCAGCTCAAATATTGATATCAAAATTTGGAGCGTGCCTGAAAAGGCCCGGTTCGAAAGATTTATTCCAAGTTCGCGCATTACTTTCCTCGGAAATTAAACAAGGCAAGTTAAAACTGGAGTTCATATACCAGCAAAACACACGGGTAAAGCTGGGGGACACACTGACGAGCCGAACCCCTCGCAGCTGCGTCAGGCAGCGGCATAAGATCGGCGAAACACGCGTGTCTGGGTGTTTAGCTAATACATGTGTTGTTAGTACGGTAAATCATTGCACAGTTGTATACTACTGGCTGCCTGTTGGCGGTTTGTGAATATTAAGCGGTTATTCCGCAGCAGCTGATGGATTTCAGCTCAAATATTCATATCAAGCTTCGGACCGTGCCTGAAGAGGTCTGTTTCGAAAGATTTACTCCAACTTCGCGCGTTAGTTTCCGCGGAAATTACTCAAGGCAAATTATGTGAGTAACTAACTAAACACTGGCAGCCCATGATCAGGTTTTAGCCGCTGTTTGGAACTGTCGACAAATCACATTTGACATGCGACTATGTGCACAGTAAAGTACCAGGCTCCATTTTTACCCTGCTTCTTTCTCAGCAAACACTGCGCCCATGCCCATTGTCAGTCCTATTGACTCTG